GTGGCAGGCGCCTGTAATCTCAGCTACTCGAGAGGCTGAGGCAGGAGTATCCCTTGAACCCGGGAGGCAGAGTTTCCAGCAAGTCGAGATTGTCCCATTGCACTCCAGCCTGGCAACAAGAACAAAACTGTCTCAAAAAAAAAAACCTAAAACTAAAACAAAAACCTAAAATCACAGAGCTGTAAACTGGAAGACAATATTTGCAATACACATAATTGACAAAGGACTGGTATCCAGAATATAAATCAATAACTCTGATAAATCAAAATTGGAAAAAATGACTCAATAGAAAAACGGCAAAAGACAAGAACAAGCATTTCACAGAATGGGAAACATAAATGTCAAATAAACATACGAATGAATGCTCACCCTCATTGGTAGTCAAAACAATGCAAATTAAGGCCAGGCACAGTGGCTCATGCCTGTAACTCCAGCACATTGGGAGGGCCAGAAGCTCAAGACCAGCCTGGGCAACATATCAAGACCTCGTCTCTACTAAAAAATAATTTTTCTAAATGGCCAGGTGCAGTGGCTGACACCTGTAATCCCAGCACTTTGGGAGGCAGAGGTGAGCAGATCACTTGAGGCCAGGAGTTCGAGACCAGCCTGGGCAACATAGTGAACCCCCGCATCTCTACTAACAATACAAAAATTAGCTAGGTGTGGTGGGGGGCACCTGTGATCCCAGCTACTCAGAAGGCTGAGGCACGAGAATCGCTTGAACCTGAGAGGCAGAGGTTGCAGTGAGCTGAGATCATGCCACTGCACTCCAGCCAGGGCAACAGAGCAAGACTATGTTTCAAAAGAAAAAAACAAAAAAGAAGAAAAGAAAATCAGCTGGATGTGGTGGAATGCACCTGCAGACCCAGCTACTCTGGAGGCTAAGACAGGAGGATCACTTTAGCACAGGAGATGGAGGCCGCAGTGAGCCAAGATTGTGCCATGTACACCAGCCTGGGTGACAGCGTGAGACCTTATCTCAAAAACACACACATAAACCCCGAAACAATGCAAATGAAGACCTAGTGAGGTATTATTTTTTACTTGTTGGATTGCCAAAGTTTAAAAATCAGCCAAAGCCAAGTTATAGGAAGAGAAATACTTACGTAGTGTTGGTGGAAATATAAACTGGAATAAGCAGTTCAGAAACATTTTGGCACTACCTAATAAAGTTGGGCATACACAAATTCTAAAGCCCCACCATTCAAATCTTAAGGATATGCCCTGGGAAAAGGTCTTTCTCATGTGCACATGTTCATAGCAATACTAGTGGTAATAGTAAAAAGAAGGCAGGCCGGGAGCAGTGGCTCACACCTTTATCCCAGCAGTTTGGGAGGCCGAGGCAGGCGGATCACCTGAGGTCAGGAGTTCAAGACCAGTCTGGCCAACATGGTGAAACCCTGTCTCTACTAAAAAAACAAAAATGAGCTGGGCATGATGGCAGGTGCTTGTAATTCCAGCTACTCGGGAGGCTGAGATGGGAGAATCGCTTGAACCCGGGAGACGGTGGTTGCAGTGAGCCAAGAATGTGGCACTGCGCTCCAGCCTGGGCGGCTGAGCGAGACTCTGCCACAGGAAAAAAAAAAAAAGTTTTGAATTAGCTGGCCATGGTGGCACACACCTCTAGTTCCAGCTACCCAGAAGGCTGAGGTGGGACTGCTGAGGTGGCCTGAGGCGCATTTGAACCTGGAAGGTCGAGGCTGCAGTAAGCTGTGTTCATGCCACTGCACTCCAGCCTGGGCAACAGAGTGAGACCCAGTCTCAAATAAATAAAATAAAAAATAAATTAGGAGTATTTTAAACTTCATATTATGAAAATTAAGAGCATTTTTTACATCTAATGAAAGCAACAAAGTTCACTTTGTTTTAACGGAAAGGAAAAATACAGAAGGAAGAAAAGTTTGGTGAGCTCCTAAGAGGATCAAGAAAAGAAATACAATTCGGGGGGGGGAAAAACCCTTCCATTTTAAACCATGTTATTATTTTAATCCTAGATCATTCAGGAAGCTATGCTGGCTAAAACTGGAATTTATTAAGAAGATTACACCTTCACCTGCAGTTCACATCAAATAATTTCCATCTGTGTTCCATGATTACATCTTTAAATAGTTTTTAATGATTCCCTTTCTCAATTCAGTCTCAAACGCCAGAAACTGTTACATAAAGAAGTAGATACAGGATGGGCACAGTGGCTCACGCCTATAATCCCAGGACTTTGGGAGGCCAAGGTGGGTGGATCACCTGAGGTCAGGAGTTTGAGACCGACTTGGCCAACATAGTGAAACCCCATCTCAATTAAAAATACAAAAATCACTGGGCGCGGTGGCTCACACCTGTAATCCCAGCACTTTGGGAGGCCGAGGCAGGCAGATCAAAAGGTCAAGAGATCGGGACCATCCTGGCCAACATGGTGAAACCCCGTCTCTACTAAAAATAGAAAAATTAGCTGGATGTGGTAGCACTCGCCTGTGGTCCCAGCTACTCGGGAGGCTGAGGCAGAAGAATCACTTGAAACCAGGAGGTGGAGGTTTCGGTGAGCCGAGATTGCACCACTGCACTCCAGCCTGGCAACAGAGCAAGACTCCATCTCAAAAAAAAGAAAGAAAAATCAGCTAGGCATGGTGGTGGGCGCCTGTAATCACAGCTACTCAGGAGGCAGAGGCAGGAGAATCACTTGAACCCAGGAGGTGGAGGTTGCAGTGAGCTGAAATGGCACCACTGCACTCCAGGCTGGGCGACAGAGCAAAAGTCCATCTCATAAGTAAGTAAGTAAGTAAATAAATAAATAAATAAAAGAAGTAGATACGGCTACTTCTGCTGGGGCAGGAGCGGAGAATCAATCTTTATATTCTTGGGGGCTCCCCTAATTGGCTCTGGGGTCTTATGCAATGCCAAACCTTGAGAAGGTGTTGAGAAGTGTCGTTTATCCCCACAGGTTATCAGTGAGGGACATTGTTCATTCAGCATTTTTAGATTGGTAGGCTCTCTGTGGCTTCTGTGCCATGCTTGGAACACAGAAATTTCTTATAATACTTGTCGCCCCAGGCCTTGCATTCCTAGCTCCCACATTCATTAAGCAGCCATTCCTGTGTGAGCCCTTACCAGGAAGCTGTGGGAAGTCAGGCCCAGGTCCCCAGCTGACATTTCCCCGCTTCCCCCTGCCACCCAAGGGACATCTCTTTTTTTTTTTTTTTTTTTTTTTTTTTTTGAGACGGAGTTTCGCTCTTGTTACCCAGGCTGGAGGGCAATGGCGCGATCTCGGCTCACCGCAACCTCCGCCTCCTGGGTTCAGGCAATTCTCCTGCCTCAGCCTCCTGAGTAGCTGGGATTACAGGCACGCGCCACCATGCCCAGCTAATTTTTTGTAGTTTTAGTAGAGACGGGGTTTCACCATGTTGACCAGGATGGTCTCGATCTCTTGACCTCGTGATCCACCCGCCTCGGCCTCCCAAAGTGCTGGGATTACAGGCTTGAGCCACCGCGCCCGGCGGGACATCTCTTTATAATCTGATGGGAGTCCCATTCTCCTTCAAACCCAATTATTTTTAAAGTGCTTGGGCTTTTAGAAAAGAAAGCATGGTCTCGGAGCAATGGCTCATGCATATAATCCCAGAACTTTGGAAGGCTGAGGCAGGTGGATCAGCTGAGGTCAGGAGTTCGAGACCAGCCTGGTCAACAGGGTGAAACCCTGTCTGTACTAAAAATACAAAATTAGCCGGGCGTGGTGGTGCGTGCCTATAATTACCCAGGAGGCTGAGGCAGGAGAATTGCTGGAACCCAGGAGACAGAGACTGCAGTTAGCTGAGATTGTGCCACTGCACTGCAGCCTGGGTGACAGACCAAGATTCTGTCTCAAAAAAAAGAAAGAAAGCTCAAATATCCTGCAAGCTAATCTGCTTTCAGCTGGGTCACATACTTCCTAAAAGGTAATAAAGCACAGAGCCTGCTATTTGCTAGAAAGGGAGAAACAGAAACGGTAAAATACAAGGAGGGAAAAAAACCTAATATTTAAAAACATTTTCTGGAAGTTGGCAAAGATTTTTTAAATAGGACACAAAAAGTGTTAACCGTACAAGGAAAAAAATGATAAATTGGACTTGTTTGAAATAAAGAACTGCTCCTCCTCCTGCTTCAGCCAAGTAAAATGTTATCTCCTTCCTCTTCACCTTCCACCGTGATTTTGTTTCTTGAGGCCTCCCCAGCCATGCTTTCTGTACAGCCTGCAGAACTGTGAGCCAATTAAGCCTCTTTTCTTCATAAATTAAAAGAAAGAACTGCTATTTAACAAAATATACTATTTAACAAAAAAGAGTAAAAAGGCAAGACATAAAAAGGGAGATGTTTCAAATACATATATCCAAGGAAGGATTTGTATCCAGAATACATAATGAAGTACTACTAATTGCAAAAAGTGAAAATAATCCAATCAAAATGACTTAAAACCAATACTTCATAAAAGAGGACATCCCAATGGTGAATTAACATATAAAAAGTTGTTAAACTAAATTGGTCATCATGAAATGCAAATTAAAATTGTAACACAATACCACTACACACCTATCACTATGGCTAGAATGGAAAAGGCTGACATACCAGGTGCTGATAGATATAGAACATCTTGATGGGAAACATAAAATGGTCCAACCACTTTGGAAAACTGACAGTAACTACTAAAGCTGGATATACAGCTGCCCCAGCAATTTCACTCCTAGATATATACCCAAGAGAAAGCCATACATATGTTCATTAATAGACACATACAAGAATGTCTATGGCAGCACCACTTATTATGGCACCAAATGAAAATTACTCAAATGGGCCGGGCGCGGTGGCTCACGCCTGTAATCCTAGCACTTTGGGAGGCCGAGGTGGGTGGATCACCTTAGGTCAGGAGTTCAAGACCAGCCTGGCCATCATGGTGAAACCCCATCTTTACACTTCCACTCGTGCGCGAGGCAAGTGGAGCTGGAGACGAGACGAGAGGCTGAGGTCGGGGTCTGACAAGATGGCCGGGCTGCCCCGCAGGATCATCAAGGAAACCCAGCATTTCCTGGCAGAACCAGTTCCTGGCATCAAAGCAGAACCAGATGAGAGCAACGCCTGTTATTTTCATGTGGTCATTGCTGGCCCTCAGGATTCCCCCTTTGAGGGAGGGACTTTTAAACTTGAACTATTCCTTCCAGAAGAATACCCAATGGCAGCCCCTAAAGCATGTTTCATGACCAAAATTTATCATCCTAATGTAGACAAGTTGGGAAGAATAAATATTTTGAAAGATAAGTGGTCCCCAGCACTGCAGATCCGCACAGTTCTGCTATCGATCCAGGCCTTGTTAAGTGCTCCTAATCCAGATGATCCATTAGCAAATGATGTAGCGGAGCAGTGGAAGACCAACGAAGCCCAAGCCATAGAAACAGCTAAAGCATGGACCAGGCTATATGCCATGAATAATATTTAAACTGATCCAATCATCAAGTGTGCATCACTTCTGTTCTGCCAAGACTTCTTCCTTTTTGTCTGCATTTAATGAACACAGTCTTAGAAACATTACAGAATAAAAAAGCCCAGACATCTTCGGTCCTTTGGTGATTAAATGCACATTAGCAAATCTGTGTCTTGTCCTGATTCACTGTGTAAAGCATGAGCAGAGGCTAGAAGTATCATCTGGATTGTTGTGAAAGGTTTAAAAGCAGCGGCCCCTCCCTGCTTTTACTCATTTCCCCCATCCTGGTTTAAGTATAAAGCACTGTGAATGAAGGTAGTTGTCAGGTTAGCCGCAGGGGGGTAGGTGTATTTCTTTATTTTTTTGACGGGGAAGGTTTTATTTTAATTTTATGGGCTCCTTCCCCCCTTTTACGGTGATCTAATTGCATTGGTTAAAAGCAGCTAACCAGTTATTTAGAATATGCTCTCTAGCCAAGTCTAACTTTATTTAGACGCTGTAGATGGACAAGCTTGATTGTTTGAACCAAAATGGGAACATCAAACAAACATCACAGCCCTCCCTAATAACATTGTGACTTTGCTGTCAAGTGTAGATTCCCCCCTCCAAAAAAAGCTTGTGACCATTTTGTATGGCTTGTCTGGAAACTTCTGTAAATCTTATGTTTTAGTAAAATATTTTTTGTTATAAAAAAAAAAAGAAATCCCATCTTTAAAAAAAAAAAGAAAATTATTCAAATGCTTATTAATAGTAAAATGGATAAAGTGTATACTACATTCATACAATGGAATAACATAATCCAATGAGAATTAATAAACTATTTGTACACTTGATCTTAGCCAAAAGGCTGAGAAGCAAACTATTTTGACACAAAACAACGTGGAAGGCTTACAAACACAATGTTGAGTTGAAGAAGCCAGACATAAGAGTACATACTGTATGATTCCATTTATTTTTTATTATTTATTTTATCTATTTATTTTTTATTTTATTTATTAATTTTTTTATTTTATTTTTTAAAGATGGGGTTTCACCATATTGGTCAGTCTGGTCTCGAACTCCTGACCTCAGGTGATCCGCCCACCTCAGCCTCCCAAAGTGCTGGGATTACAGGCGTGAGCCAGTGCACCCGGCCAATTTTTCTTTTTTTTTTGATACAGAATCTTGCTCTGTCACCCAGGCTTTAGTGCAATGGCACAAACACTTCATTGCAGCCTCAAACTCCTCAGCTCAAGCAGGCCTCCCACCTCAGCCTCCTGAGTAGTAGCTAGGACTACAGGCATACTCCACCATACCCCAATAATTTTTTTTTTTCTGGCCAGGCAGGGTGGCTCACGCCTGTAATCCCAGAACTTTGGAAGGCTGAGGTGAGCAGATCGCATAAGCGAGGAGTTTGAGACCAGCCTGGAAAACATGGTGAAACCCTGTCTCTACTAAAAATACAAAAATTAGCCAGGCATGATGGTGCATGCCTGTAATCCCAGCTACTTGGGAGGTTGAGGCACAAGAATAGCTTGAACCTGGGAGGCAGAGGTTGCAGTGAGCCGAGATTGCACCACTTGTACTCCTGCTTGGTGACGGTGAGACTCTTTTTTTTTTTTTTTTTTTTTTTTACATAGAGATGGATCCAGCTAATTGGAGAGACTCTGTCTTTAAAAAAACAAAAATTTAGGCCGGGCGCAGTGGCTCACGCCTCTAATCCCAACACTTTGGGAGGCCGAGGCAAGTGAATCACGAGGTCAAGAAATTGAGACCATCCTGGTCAACATGGTGAAACCCCGTCTCTACTAAAAATACAAAAAATCAGCTGGGCATGGTGGCGTGTGCCTGTAATCCTAGCTACTCAGGAGGCTGACACAGGAGAATTGCCTGAACCCAGGAGGCGGAGGTTGCGGTGAGCCGAGATCGCGCCATTGCACTCCAGCCTGGGTAACAAGAGCGAAACTCCGTCTCAAAAAAAAAAAAAAATTTGTGGGCCGGGCATGGTGGCTCACGCCTGTAATCCTAGCACTTTGGGAGGCTGAGGCGGGAGCGTCCCCTGAGGTAAGAAGTTCAAGACCAGCCTGGCCAACAGGGTGAAACCCTGTCTCTACTAAAAATACAAAAAAATTTTGCTGGGTGTGGTGGTACATGCCTGTAATCCCAGCTACTTGGGAGGCTGAGGCAGGAGAATCACTTGAACCCAGGAGGCAGAGGTTGTAGTGAGCTGAGATCGTGCCACTGCACTCCAGCATGGGCAAAAAAGCAAGACTCCCTCTCTACAAAACAAAAAATTCTTTGTAGAGACGAGGTCTCACTATGTTGACCAGCCTGGCCTCGAACTCCTGGGCTCAAGCAATCCTCCCACTTCACCTCCCAAAGGGCTGGAATTACAGGCATGAGCCACCGTGCCTGGCTAGGTGTGATGATTGAGAAGCGGTGTGAAAGAACATTCTGGGTTGATGGTAATGTTCTGTGTCTTGATAGGGGTTTGGTAAATTCAGGTACATACATTTGTTAAAGCTCACTGAATCACCACTGAAGATTTGTGCCTTTTTTTTTTTTTTTTTTTGAGATGGAGTCTTGCTCTGTCACCAGGCTGGAGTGCAGTGGCATGATCTCGGCTCACTGTAACCCCACCTCCTGGCTTCAAGCGATTCTCCTGCCTCAGCCTCCCAAGTAGCTGGGAGTACAGGTGTGTGTCACCACACCCAGCTAATTATTGTATTTTTAGTAGAGATGGGTTTAGTCATGTTGGCCAGGCTAGTCTCGAACTCCTGACCTCAGGTGATTCACCTACCTTCGCCTCCCAAAGTGCTGGGATTACAGGTGTGAGCCATGGTGCCCAGCCAGATTTGTGCATTTTATTACATGTAAATTTAAGCTGAAAAATAAAAAGAGCTGGGTGTGGTGGCTCAGGCAATCCCAGCACTTTGGGAGGCCTAGGCAGGAAGACTGCTTGAAGTCAGGAGTTTGAAATCAACCTGGGCAACAGAGCAGGATCCTGTCTGTAAAATAAAATTAAAAATAAAAATAAATAAAAAAGAACCATAAACAAATAATGAGCTCTAGTGAATGATGTGTGTGCTGAAGTGTTTAGGGGTGAAGTGTATTGATATCTGCAACTCTGAAATGGATTCCAAAAAACAGGATGGATTAATGGATGAATAGAGAGGTGAATAGATGGATAGCTGTGTAAAAAGTTAACTGTGGAATCTGGGTAGTAGGTATGTGAATTCATGGTACAATTCTCTCAACTTCTCTGTATGTTTGAAAATGTTCATAATACAATATTGGGAAAAAATTAAAGATACATATTCTCTATTACCCAGCAATCCCATTCTAGGTATCTGTCCTAAGAAAAGTCTCAAACCAGAGTATGAGTAGACGTGTGCAGAGGTGCTCAATGCGCCATTGTATGGAATATCAAAGAAGTGGAACCAACCCAACTATGCCTCAGTAAAGAATGGATAAATCAACTGTGATTTATTCATACAATGGAATGTAATATACAATGGAACTAGACCTACATGAATCAACTGGGATAAATCTAAAAAACAATGTTGAGGTTTTGTGGGTTTTTTTTTTTTTTTTTTTTTCCTGACACAGAATCTCATTCTGTTACCCAGGCTGGAGTGCAGTAGCACAATCTCAGCTCACTGCAACCTCCGCCTTCCAGGTTCAAGCAATTCTCCTGCCTCAGCCTCCTGGGTAGCTGGGACTGCAGGTGCATGCCACCCTGCCCAGCTAATTGCTGTATTTTTAGTAGAGATGTAGTTTTGCCATGCTGGCCAGGCTGGTCTTGAACTCCTGACCTTAGGTGATCCACCTGCCTCAGCCTCCCAAAATGCTGGGATTACAGGTGTGAGCCACCAAACCCAGCCCAATGTTGAGTTTTAAAGAAAGGCTACAAAATCATGCATATACTATGAGATCATTTATGAAAATAATAGTAAATATTGTTCATGGCTACTGACATGTGTGAAAGTATAAAAGCACTCACTGGAATAATATATACCGGCTTCAGAATGACAGTTACCTCTGAGGAAGGACAGAGGGGAAAAGGGATGTGCAGTGGGGCTCTAGAAGTCTGTGTGCTATTTTATTTCTTTAAAAAGTAAAGATATCAGTCGGGCATGGTGGCTCACACCTGTAATCCCAGCACTTTGGGAGGCCAAGGCGGGTGGATCACGAGGTCAGGAGATCAAGACCATCCTGGTCAACATGGTGAAACCCCGTCTCTACTAAAAATACAAAAACATTAGCTGGGCATGGTGGCGCCTGCCTGTAATCCCAGCTACTTGGGAGGCTGAGGCAGGAGAATTGCCTGAACCCAGGAGGCGGAGGTTGCGGTGAGCCGAGATCGCGCCATTGCACTCCAGCCTGGGTAACAAGAGCGAAACTCCGCGTCAAAAAAAAAAAAAAAAGAGTTTGAGACCAGCTTGACCAACATGGAGAAACCATGTCTCTACTAAAAATACAAAATTACCCGGGTGTGGTAGCACATGCCTGTAATCTCAGCTTCTTGGGAGGCTGAGGCAGGAGATTTGCTTGAACCCTGGGAGGTGGAGGCTGTGGTAAGCTGAGATCACGCCATTGCACTCCAGCCTAGGCAACGAGAGTGAAACTCCATCTCAAGAAAAAAAAAGTAAAAATATCTGCAGCAATTATGGAAATATATTAACATATTTAATCTTAGTGGTGTATTTACACTCATTTAAACAACTACTATGTGCCAGGAACCTGGCTAAATGTAGTACATGCCATATATCTCACTTACTCCTCAACTGAGGTAGGTATCAGCTGTATCAACTTTCTTTTTTTTTTTTTTAAACACGGGGTTTCACCATGTTGAACAGGCTGGTCTTGAACTCCCGACCTCAGGTGATCCGCCCGCCTTGGCCTCCAAAGTGCTTGGATTACAGGCGTGAGCCACCACGCCTGGCCTCAACTTTCAATATAAAGTCTAAGGCTTAAGATTAAATAGTTTAACCAACAGTATACGTGCTACTAGATCCAGAAAGTCTAACAGCAGAGGCTAACTCTTGACCACTCTGCTTTAGGATTTGTTGTTGTTGTTTTGTTTTGGGACAGGGTCTCGCTCTGTTGCCCAGGCTGGAGTGCAGTGGCACAATGTTGGCTCACTGCAACCTTTGC